AAGTCGATGGGCGGATTTGGTCGGCATGTCTCCTTGGCGTTCCCGGCGCTGTGTCAAAACACGACCCTGAGGGTCCTTGCACTGGAACACAACCGGTTTGGAGAGGAAGGTCTGTCAGAGTTTTGTCGAGCCCTTCGATCGAACAAGAGACTGGGTGTCTTGACCTGCGACGGCAACGACATTTATACGCCACAGGGTCTCAATGAGATTGAAAAGATCTTTACGCCCGTGTCGCCCCTGTCGCTGCTGCCTGCAGCCTCGCCTATCGGACATCACAGTTCCGAGATGACAATGGAGATCGATTCCTCTCAAGGTCCCGATGAACAACACCACGAGTACAACCGAACACTGTGTGTGTGGAAGCATGGTCAGGACGAGTTTCTGATGCACATGCAGCTGTTGACCCAAGAGATTACCCGTCTAGTCGGCGAGCGCGACCGGGTGGAGAAGTTGATGGCGACGAGTCAGGATCTGGCGCACGAGAGCGATGTGAAGGTGATGGGGCGGGACCTGGAGGATCTCAAGAGACGCGTCGCGGCTGCCGAAAAGTCGCGGATCGAGTACTCTGAGACACACGCGCGCATCGCCAAGGCTATCTGGGACAACAACGAGCGCCTCAAGCGCCTTTAATGTATTAGTAGATGAAGTAAATAAATCATAGAACGTATAGACAAACGCGTCCCGCTTCGTGAATGCAACAATATCTTTATTCGCGACAGGGGAAAAAAGGCGGACTGGCATGAAACGGCATCGAGCGTTGAAACAAAAAGAGACGTGCACTTCAGTCCATACCAATAGCACCTTTCATCTTTAAAAGTAACCAATTCTAATGAAAATAACAACAACGCGAAGAGACAATGTCGGTTGTCAACACCATTCGACTCTTCAAAAAGAACACATTTCTTTGTCTCCCTCACTATGGTAAAACCATACCTGGAGCAATGATCAATCGCTCACGCCTTATTCCTTCTCTCATTGTTCATCCCCGAGTGCACAAAAATACTCTATATTCTCATCCGTCCTTCTCCTTCATTCCCCAAACAACATAGCGATCAATTGAGCCTCGCACAGACTCAAGCGCATCTATCAAAAATGAACATTCGCATCTCAACAACACACACAAACAAAATCAAATCTATGCCCTCATTCCCCCTCGTCTCCCTTGCCTCAATTCACAGCCAAAAGAAAAAAAAAAGCCAATTGAACACCCCCGTATCTCACTCCAACATCCCCTCTCGACCTCTGACACCCCCTTACACACCAGACGGTGTCAACTGAAAATAACGATCAGGTATCGACCATGCATCCTCACTCTTCAAGAACAACTAACCAGCTGAGGGTCTCACCTCGCACAGACTCCATTATCCATCAAAAATGAAATTGGACCATCTCAATACATGATACATGCTGCCTTCACTCTCCCTCGTCACCCGTGCTTCAACTCGCAACAAAAAAGCCAATTCAACCTACCCTCTCTCTCTCTCTCTCTCTCTCTCTCTCTCTCTTCAACATCCCCTCTTTCCTTCTCCTCTCTGTACATTCAGTTAGAGGGAAGATCAATATCAACCATGACTTGTCTCTGTCCTTCAAGCTCACGATCAATTGGACCTATCACTTTGCACGGACTCAGCCATATCTATCCAAAATCTAAATGAAATTGACACGACAACAGACACGTACAATACAACACACAACGCACACCACACACACCACACACCACACACCACACAACACACCACACACCACACAACACACCACACACACCACACACACCACACACAACACACCATACACAACGCACAACACACCACACACCACACACCATACACAACGCACAACACACCACACACCACACACCACACACCACACACCATACATAACGCACAACACACCACATACCACACACAACGCACAACACACAACAATCACATCCCTGGCCTCACTCCCCTTGCAACAAAAAAAGCAATTGAACACCCCCCTTTCGCCCGCATCTCACATCTCACTCTTGCATTTCCTATCTACCCCTAACAGTCCCTGACACGCCCACGCCCCACGAACAACTCCCACTCCGACAAAACAAAAATCATAGTTTTTCTAGCCGATTGGACCAAAAAAGGGCATCCGTCCGGAGGCAAAAGAAAGGGGCTCAACCGGGAATTGAACCCGGGACCTCTCGCACCCAAAGCGAGAATCATACGACTAGACCATTAAGCCCTTTAATGTTGTTGAACGCTTTTCTCGGTTTAAACTCTTATATCCCATGTGCCATCTTGCATGCTTGCTTTGTGGTCATGTGACTGCGCCACCAAAAAATTGGTCTGAGCCGCTGGGGGTGCCTGAAAATATGAAAATTGCGCACAAAAAAACCCCCGACACGTTCCCACCATAATGACGGGCTGCGATTGTTGCGCAGAGCCAACGGCTTGACCCGAACACTGTGAATAGTTTTATGGCATATGCGACAAAGTTCAGTAAGTAGATCCCCCCCCCCCTCGTTATTTATTAGATGAATGAGGCCCTAGCTATTGACTAGAGAAGTAAATTGGTATTGTGTGGTGTCTCCCTTGGACTCCAGTGGAGGCTAGACAAGACCAGAGTAGGGCGACAAAGCAGTCGGGTGACAAAGAAGTAGTGTGACAAAGATCCTTTTAGACAAGAGGGAAACCTCTGTGCCAGAGAGAGGAAAGAAAAAAAAAGGATTCATGTCGAACAAAAGAAATGAAAAATGAACTCTTGATCAGTCTGCACACAAACAACAGTGCCTGGATTTGAACTCCCCTCTCTTGTTTTTTCTTCCCTTGCTCTCGCTGACTTCGCCCTCCCT